GACACAACTAGAGCTTCAACCACGTTTCGCTGGATCGACGTAGTCACACCTCCCTCCTCATCAGCAACTGTCAACACAACAGGGTCGCTTTTCTCTATCTCCTCATCGTTGTCCTCTCTGCCGGCCCTCTCGTCGTCTCCAACCTCTCCAGCATCCTCTTCTCTGTCCCAACAACGCCTCGGTTATATCTCCCTTTTCCACGATACCGCCGACTCATTGGCTTCTGGGCCTGGCACCTCTCCTCCGCTTGCCGCTTCACTTCAAGCTCTGCGACATTTAACTCGAGCCCGGCGTCATCCTGGATCACTCCTCAACAGTTCGCGCGGCTCAACTGAGCGAACGAATGCAGCCAGCACCGAGGATGGAAAGCAGACGAAAGTACGAGCTCTCCGCCGATTGGTCGGCAGAAGCCTACGAGACTCGGACTCTGAAACGATGAGCCAATCTCTTGACGGCGACAACTTCCTCCATTCTACCCGTCAAAATTACACTGCCAAACCGCCCAGCCTCGAGGTCAGACACAGGCCGGCAGCTTTGACGACCTCGAGATTCGCCGTCCAGCATACGTTGGTCTCACGCGACAAACACCGACGCCGGACACGCTCACATCTCGTGACCGGCAACAATGGCGGTACCAACAGCCATAGCGACCGTCGCCTACTCTGGTCTCTGACCGGCGATGCCAGAGACGTCTCAAGCTCCGGGCGCTTGACTCGCAGCGAGGGAGGTGGTAGGGGTGTTGTCGTGAGTCGGTTGCAGTTGGAGCAAGTGAATGATGCCGACGCCGGAATCTACGTTTGCGCTTTGCTTGGAGGCCCCAAAGGCAGGCCTATTGGACATCGTCTCTTCCGTCTGGGCGTACAGTCGGGACCAGTGACAGGCGGTCTGGCGACTTTGGCTCCAAACGGTGGACTTCCGTCGGAGGCAGAAAAAGTGGGCGAAAGTGACCAAATTGAGGATGATAATGCGCCGACAAGGCCTTCCATAGGCCGACAGGCTCACTTCATGAGATCACAAAAAAGGCCAACTGAGACGAATTCCGTCACCGTAGATGAGGCATTTGGGCTACAGATGAGTTCTGGCTTGCCGACCGTGGCGTGGTCCACGGAGACCGGACTTGCGGACGGAAAATTCATTGAAGGTGAGAATGATATCGCTGGCCTCCCTGACAGCCTGTGTAGAAGTCCGTGAAGGGCCGATTCGGTTAAAAAACAAAATAATAATTTTCTATTTCCTTCCTCAACCCCAAAGCCATTTAAGCCCGTTGAAAATACTGCCTGTCCAGACCAGGCCATTCCAGACCAGTCCTCATCCCGTCCTGAAGTAAGTAGTAGGCATTTTGTGGTTCACAGGCGTCCCAAGGAATTATTGAGGAAATAACCGTTGTGAACTTCTTCATTATGTCAAAAACATTAACAAACTATTAAGAGATGATTTAAGGATTGATAGTTGAATCTGCCTACAATGATATGACTAGACTTTATTAATAAAATTGTAGAAAAATTCAATTACCAGTGCATAGAGGTTTAAATAATTACTGATATTTTTGCAGTACATTGATGCCGAAAATCAGTATCGCTTAACTTAGCTGCTAGCTTGCCTCTCCTTAAAACCCTTTATCCTGCCTTGGAATCTCAGACTC